TTTCGGACTGACCTTGAGTCCATTATCCACACAAATGACAAGTGACAAGTATAGAAATTATTATATATGGCTATTCATTTCAATTTGTTTTTTTTTTTTAATTAACATTGCAATGCAAGGGGGAGAAACGTTTTGTTTGTGCATTGCAATGTTAATTAAAAAAAAAAAAACAAATTGAAATGAATAGCCATATATAATAATTTCTATACTTGTCACTTGTCATTTGTGTGGATAATGGACTCAAGGTCAGTCCGAAATATTCACAAGTTTTTTGAAATAAATTCAAAAAACAAATAAAATGATCAATGAACTCGTATTTCTTGCTATTAAATTATTCAAATATATTTCATTGAAGGATCTGAACTTATGATCTGCAATTTTGAGGTTCTAGTCAATATCAATACCAGTCAATACCAATGCCTCAATACCGTACTGGTATGTGCCCTCCCTAGCTAAAGTACAGTGGAGTACAGGCGGAACATAGCTGAAGTACAGTGGAGTACAGGCGGAACATAGCTGAAGTACAGTGGAGTACAGGTGAAACACAGCTGAAGTACAGATGAAGTGCGAATGAACTACGCACTCCTGAAGTTTCGGTTTTTTCCCCTTGGAGTACATGCGAGTACAAGGGAGTACGAGGGAGTACAAGGGAGTACCAAGGGAGTACGAGGGGAGTACAAGGGAGTATGAGGGAGTATGAGAGGAGTACGAAGGAAGTACGAGGGAGTATGAGAGGAGTACGAAGGAAGTACGAGGGAAGTACGAGGGAAGTACGAGGGGAGTACGAAGGGAGTACAATGGAGTACGAGGAAGTACGGGAGTCTCGCTTTTTCCCACTTGGGTCGTATAGAATTTAGTCTTTTTCAGAATCAAAACTAAACAACCAAAATCCATCTTGCTTTGTCAATTGTAGAGCTTTTCAAGCTGCATCTAGTGGTATACTCAGTTTTTTAATAAAAATTTTTAAAGATTAAAATCTGAAATACAAAAACTGACCATTTATTATGGGACACCCGTTTGAGAGAGATTATGAAATTGATATTGATACTATTGGAACTGCTTTTCCATCGAAAAAAGATAAAAGAAAATTTTTTTTTTGAAAATGAACAAAGTAATTGTACATCATTCTCGAATAAGAACTTCTTTTTTCCTATTATAATAAACATTTGTGAACATCTAATAGTGATGGAAGACTAAAATCAAAGAATTAAACGTACTCAATTAAAAGTATATACACTAATTAAAGGAGGTTCAATGCACTACTAGAGGAGTTAATGCTCGAGCTTTGCATACAATGCATTCGAGAAGTGCAGTTCTCATGAAAAAAGTTTTTTGCATTGGACTGAGCAAGGGAAAGAAAGCAGAGCTCATTTAAAAGTTTATTGGTACCCCTACAAAACTGATCTTTCGTCGCCCATGTAAGGTTCTGTCCCGAAAAATAATTCTATTTATTCTTTTATTTTCGTTATTTCTTTCTGAAACGTAGTGATTTTGATTTAGAATTTCAAGCTGAATCTAATGATGTAACTTTTAATGCTATTGAACTAACTATTATAGAGCAATTGTTTACGAAATAATGCAGAGTGAGAAAAAAGTGTGAATCTATTTTGATTAGAATCTATGCATATTTACAGACATATTCCCATCCACATTGTACACAATCGTAAATTTTTCTTATGCCTATGTACATACGAAGTTTTATGTATATATTAAGTATTTTATAGATAAAAATGGCTGTGTCTTTAAAAAAAAGTGAAGTAATAATAAAACAATGTGAAGCATTATCTCAATTAGTTGCAAAATTTAATAAAGATGTGGAAAATATGATTGCAATAACTACAAATGATATGAATTATCTTCTATCATCAATTCAAGAGAATATTAAAGAAACAACATCAATTGTTATGAATGATTTAAATGAATGGGAAGAAATAAAGAAAAATTTATCAACAACAATAATTCAAGGAAAAGTAGTGCTTAATGTTGGTGGACGTGAATTTTTAACTACAGTCGAAACTTTAACAAAAGAAAAGAATTCATTCTTTACAGGATTATTTTCTGAAAGTTGGAATTTAGAAAAAGATAATCGAGAAAGAATAT